ATAATTAAAAATTCTATGAATATATTAGAAGGAAGAAAAAGATCTTATGGTCCAATACCATTCAATATATCCATCAATGACTTGAATGGTGGAATAGAGAATATATTTATTTGCAGGTGACATCAAGTTGAGAGGGGCTGCAAGCACTTTGGAGGAAAGAATCTTAATTAAAAAAATCGTGATAAATGGGAGAAGTGACCAGGAATCTGAAAGATGAGATTCAAAAAAGACAAATAGAAGGTATTATAATGAGGAAGGAAAAATCACATGCTAAATACACAATGGGGAATAGTTAAGTAAGCAGCACTGCAGAAAAGAATCAGGATATTATCGTGGCCTAGATGCTGGATATAACTCATGAATGTGATGCAGAGGCAGAAAAGGCAAACGTCTTTTTAGGAGTGTCATATATAAGAAACAGGATAAATACTGTATTTTCTTCTATACAACATGCACCTTTCCCCCCCAGAATGAACCCCCCAAAATTGGCTTATATCTGTTAAATAGGGAAACTGATTTTGTGCCTGGGATAGAAACACTCTGCTTTGATTCGTCCTTCACACTGCAGCACCTGTGGCATTGTTGTTCAGGCAGCTGAGAGAGTCAACTATCTTCATGGCTTATTGTTTTTCACTCCACAGATGTTAACAACCATGTCTACTTTTTAATGTTTAATGATCATGATGTTCCACTAATCAAGCTAACCTTTCCTAGGGAAAGTTTGTTGTCTGCTAGCTACTACTCTTGTTTCACAACCCTGGAGATGCTTTAAGTCTTTTCAGAATCATAGATCCACCCATGAAGACCAGTCTTCAGCAGCAGCTAGGGTTTCAGCTTTAGTTAAGCAGGAAAAGGAGGGTGTGTCATCTGTAGATAAGGTTCTGTTTCTTCTCTATGCTGCCATAACTCTGGACAAATATTTTTTTCTTCATTCTGCTTTTCAAACAAAACCCCCAAATGTATGTATTATATTTTGGGGTTTGCGAGAAAATATGGTATTTTGCTGTACTCCGTGCTAGTGAAATGTCAGCTAGAGTACTTTGTCTAGTAAGAAGGACAAACTGGAACAATGCTGTAGAAGAGTAACAAGAATGACAAGAACCTTCAAAGATGTGACCTATGAGAAAAAGGAGAAGGAAATGGGTTTAGTCTATTAAAAAGACTAAGAGGCAACATGACATAGGAACAGCTTTGAAAGATGTAAAAGGTTATTACAAAGATCTGCACATCTGTTTTCAGACAAGAAATAATTGGCCTACATCTCAGAAAGGAAGGTTGAGGTTATATAGGATGATGATATACTGGAACAGGCAACCTAGAGTAGTTGTGAAAACCCTGTTATTTACTTAACAATACTGTCCTGAAACATTTTGAATGTGCTTCATATTTGCCTGCTGAATACATTTTTCTCAAACTGTATTCCAAAGTAGTTAGGATCCTAGTAAAAGATGTAAACATGGGCATCTACTCTACTACATGATTATAAAATAACTGTACCTGAATGAGAATAGCTAAGGGTCAACTCTGTTTTAATTTATGTTTAAAATTATTTGATCTAAGACAATTTTATTTCCAGTATAAATGAAATCTAAGTTATGAATACTAAGGACTGGGAAAAGGGAAGTGCAACTTCTTTTCACCAGCCAGGGAAAATATTGGGGGATTTTGAAGGATCCCTTAAAGAATGGAAATTCTTGTTATAGTCAGTATTATTACAGGGTCCAAGTATTTCCTAAGTTATTTGAAAAGAATCAAATTTGAATTAACAATATGCATCTGCCTTTCAAAACTAGATTTACCTCTGATCTGCAGACTCATGGAATAGATAAGGCTTTTCTTTGGGGACCTGCTTTTATGATTGCTCCTGTTCTTCAAGAGGCAAGTACTGCAATTTTAAAAGTTTTAATACTGGAATTAAAGACATGAACACTGCTCAGACTTTAAAATCACGTATGGGGTAGTTCACATACATTATCCCTACTCACCCACATTTTCTTCCACTCACAATGCCTGAGGACTGAATTTCAAAAAGATACCAAGCTGTAAAGAAAGTACAATTATGCATACAGAAGCGGGACTCTGCTATTTGCAAATTTGTATTGTGCTGATGGCACTCTATGAGGACATCTGTAGCAATAAGGATATTATAGAGTCTGAAAGCAGGAAGAAACACACAGAGAAGGAAAAACAGAGACAAGGAATGGCTGCCAGTTTTGGATAAAGCTGCCAGAACAACAAACCAATCTCTAAATTCAAACCAGCCCATAACATTTTGGGTCCCAAGCTCTGAAAGAATATGCTAGGAATTCCCCAACATCAAATGCAAATGAATGCAGCCCTCTTCGGTTAAAATGACCATCTTATTTACTTCCGGTAGATATAAAAATGCTTTATCCTGTGGATGGTACAGGCTGTTTCCCAAAGCGGTGTGGGGGCGTTTGCTAGCACTGATGCTGGTATACTACCTGCAGAGTGGGTTTATTTACAGTCCTCAGAGTGGAGGATTTTTCTACACAGTTGCTGTATTGATATTCAACACCAAACCCAGATACTGTAAACGTGATTTAAGCAATACTAAATAGTTTACCTGAAATAGCTGAGCAACACTAGTTGTATCTAGTTATATCTTTAATAGCTAAACCAATGCTAAATAGTTAGAATTGGAGTAGCATAAATTACTATTGTATGCAATGAGTCTGTTACTAGAATATGAATGATGAATTGTGTAATTTTTTCCAGTGCTGATTATCAGAGTATTAAATGGGCCACTGTGTGCCACACATTTTCATCTAAACTTTGTACCTCTGTGAAGTTCAAACAGAAATTGTTATTCCTTTTATAAAATCATTTTGACCTCAGTAGGATATTGCTTTCTGATCCTTCTGAAAGTCAGTCATCTTCAAATCTCACAAAATTCTTAGCAGCTAACTGACAGGGGGAGTTCACAGGATGTTAAGCCAGTTGCCAATTCTTGAAAATCAGTGCCAGACTCAAATGGTTGGTGAAAACCATCGCACATGTTCATGCTGTTTACTAAAAAGCCACTCTGAGGCAAGATACAGGAATAGGTTGACTTTAAGTCCCTCTTCTCATCATTATATGCTATGATAACAATGCATTCTGATTCATAAAAATAAATTCATTTCTTTTGATCTACATTTTTACCAGAATAAGCCATTTTTTCCTGAGTACTTTCAACAGTTTTATCCTAAGTACTTTCAAATTTAACCCAATTTTATTTCTGAGGCTAAATAATGAAGCATGTATGTGTAAAGGAATATAATAAAGTAATGGTACAATTAGCAGTAAGTGGCAGAGAAGTTAAGGCAGGGGTAGGCAATTATTTTGGCTGGAAGGCCACTTAGGAAGTTTTAGTGAGTTATCACAGGCCAGGTCAGCTCCCCTCTTCCCATCCCACCCAGCCAACCTGCCTGCAACACTTCACCAAAACTCCCCAAGTGGTCTCTGTGCTCGGCTGGGTGGATAGGATGGGATGGGAAGGGGCGGGATGGGGCTGTGGGCAAGTGAGTAGTGGTCTTCAGGAATGGGAAGGGCAAATGGGGCTGGGATCTGGATTACGGGGCAGTGACAGCATGGGGCCAGGGCCCAGGGCAGAGCTGCAATCCACTCCCTGCACATCCCTGCAATGATCCCCAGCCCCATGCTGGCATCACCCAGCAATCCTGGGATCTCCGTGGATACCAGGTGGGACATGTGCAGGCAGGGTGTATGGCCAGGTGAATGGGATGGGGCTGCAGGTGGGAGGGAAATGGTGTCTAAGAGCAAGACTCGGGTTCTGGCTCTGGTGCGAGATTCATGGGTGAAAGCCTGTTGCATTCCCATGAGCCCAGGGACCCCCCCAAGAGACCCCAGGACCCCTGATAAACCCTGGCCTGCCCACAGGTAAGCAGCGGCCCATGGTGGGAGGGATGTAGCCCAGCAGGGAGGCAGCTGAGTGGAGCCGAGGAGGGTCACGCCCCCCCTGGCTCCTACTTGGCCCAGCCCCCAGGGAGCCAGGTGACCAGGCTCCCAGTGTGTGAGACAGGTTGGGGAGGGTACTTACCTGTCCCCTCTTTTGGTGTGGGGGTGGGACCCCCCTAACCCCTGAGAGCAGTGCGGTGTCAGCCAGCCCTTCTGCGCATGCGTGCAGTTTTAAAAGGGCCTGGCAATGGCAGAAGCCACACTCGGGTCCTGGCTCCAGCATGAGACACATGGGTGAAAGCCTGTTGTTCCCCATTGAGCCAAGGGACCACCCCCCTCAAGATACCCCAGGGCCCCTGATGAGCCCCAGCCTGTCCAAAGGTAAACAGGGGCCCATGGTGGGAGGGATGAGGGACGTAGCCCAGCTGCAGGGAGGCAGCTGAGTTGCAGGGAGGCAGCTGAGTGGAGCCGAGGAGAGTCATGCCCCACCCTGGCTCTTACTTGGCTCAGCCCCCCAGGGAGCCGTGCAACGGGAGCTTCACAAACAGGACGCACAAAGAGGTGTGCTTCTGGTCCCAGTGCGTGAGTTTAGTGCAGGAGTTTGCACAGGAGGGTGAGCGGGAGGGCCTTGCCAGTAAGCCCCAGGGAAGGCAGTCCCATCAGTAGCTGGCTACCAGAAGCATGATGTGGATGGGCACATCACACCCTGAAGGTCCCCTTGGAGTCTGTGGCTTCCCCCTCTGGCACCTCAGAGGCCTCCACCCAGATGGAACCCATGGTTCCAGCCTCCACGCAGACAGAGCCTCTGGCTCTCAGCTGTGGGGGCTGCCTGGCACATTTCCAGGCTTATGGGACCGGGAGCATGGCCACCTCCTCTTGTGAGGTTTGCTCCACTTGGAATCTCTGGGGCGCCAGGTAGAGGAGCTCCAGGTTGCAGTCCAGAGACTATGTGCCATCAGGGATGGTGAACAGGAGGAGGCAGACTTCTACTGTCAGGCCCTTCACCCCATGGAGGTGGAGGGTAGACCAAGGTCACCTCCCAGGGCAAGGGAGGACTCGGGGATCTCCCATACTGTCCAGCCAGGGGGTTGGACTGAGGTGGTAAAGGGCACCAAGGTGACCAAGGGCCCCAAGGCTTGCCACACCAAGGTCCCCTCCCCTCTGGGGCTTTGCAACAGGCTTGAACTTCTTGCAGCCCCAGTAGAGCTTGCAGAGATGCCAGATCCTGCAGGCAAGGGAGGATCACCCACCCGTATTCTCCCTAAGATGAAACGCAGAGTGGTCATCATGGGAGACTCCCTCCTGAGTGGGATTGAGGGGGCAATGTGCTGCCCTGACCCCTTAGCCTGGGAGGTCTGCTGCTTCCTGGGGGCCCACATCCAGGACATAGCAGAAAGGACCCCAAAGATTATCCGGCCCTTTGACCACTACCCTATGCTCCTTATCCATGTGGGCACAAATGACATGTCTTGGAGCAATCCCAGCCATGTCATGAGAGACTACAGGGCTCTGGGAGTGGGGCTTAGGGGGCTGGGGGAACAGGTGGTGTTTTCCTTGCTCCTCCTGGTTGTGGGTCATGGGCTGAGGCAGGAGAGATGGGTTGAGGTAATCCACCAAAGACGGTGGTGCTGGTGTCATCGTGCAGGCTTCAGCTTCCATGATCACAGTCCACTCTTCGGTGACAGAGGCAGTGGTCTGCTGGGGAGAGACAGCCTCCACCTCACTCTGCTGGGGAGGAGGCTCTTCTCAGCTAGACTGGCTGACCTGCTTAACCGGGCTTTAAACTAAGCCCGTGGGGGGTTGGGGGGATTATCGCCACTGCAAGCACACTGGGCAGCCCTTGTAAACCCATCAGGCTAAGGCACTCAAGGGAACCCACCCCTACCCTAGCCCCAGAACAAGCTGTAGGGAAGGCAGGGGCCCCCAATGGGACACTTGCCTGCCTGCACACCAATGCCAGGAGCTTAGGGAATAAACAGGAAGAACTGGTCCTCCTGCTAAACAAGAATGATTATGACCTCATAGGGATAATGGAGACCTGGTGGGACTCCACCTATGACTGGGCCACAGGTATAGATGGCTATACTTTGTACAGGAGAGATCGTGTAGACAAAAGGGGTGGGGATGTAGCTCTCTATGTCAAGGACAGCTACACGTCACTCCAAATTGACATTGGCATCCAGGGAAGATGACCGGAGTCCCTCTGGGTCAAAATACATGGGGAACGTGGCACAGGGGACCTCATGGTAGGAATCTACTACAGACCTCCTAACCAGAAGCAAGAGCTGGACCAGGAATTCGCCAGGGAACTGGCTGAGGCTGCACGCTGTCAGTACATGGTTGTCATGGGAGACTTTAACTGCCCAGATGGAAGGCTGGAATTACCACTAAGGAGGAGTACTCAGCACTGGTCCATACCTGCAGGGAGCGGATCAGGAAAGCCAAGGCTGCAACCAAGCTCCATCTGGCTTCACATATCAAGGATAACAAAAAGTCCTTTTTCAAATATGTAGGGAGTCAGAAGAAAAGCAAGGGTAACATTGGACCCCTGCTTAACCAAACAGAACAGCTGATAACTGACACCCAGGAAAAGGCCAACCTGCTTAATGGGTACTTCACGTCAGTCTTTCACCAGTCCAGTGGGACTGCCCTGCCTAGCAAGATGTGGGACGGCCAAGGTGATTGCGTATTTATACCCAGCATCAGTGTTGATGTAGTACAGGATCACCTTGAGAGGCTGGACACCTTCAAGTCAGCTGGTCCTGAGCGATTACACCCTAGGGTACTCGAGGAGCTGGCACGTGTCATGGCTCAACCATTGGCCAAAATATTCGAAAACTCATGGTGCTCCGGTGAAGTACCTGAAGTCTGGAAGAAGGCCAATGTGGTACCCATCTTCAAGAAAGGGAGGAAAGTAGTTCCTGGGAATTACAGGCCAATCAGTTTGACTTCAATCCCTGGTAAGATTCTTGAGAAAATTATCAAGGAGACCCTTCTGGATAAACTGGCTGAGGGCAACATCCTGAGGGATAGCCAGCTCAGGTTTGTTGCGGGTAGGTCTTGCCTGACCAATCTCATCTCCTTCTATGACCAGGTGATGTATCACCTGGACAAGGGAGAAGAGATTGACGTCATATATCTGGACTTTAAAAAAGCCTTTGATCTGGTGTCATGTGACCTTATCATGGAAAAATTGGCCAACTGCGGCCTCGGCTACACCACAGTCCGATGGCTGGAAAATTGGCTCCAAGGTTGGACCCAAAGAGTAGTGGTTGATGGCAGTAAATCCTTATGGCTCTCTGTGACCAGTGGCACCCCCCAAGGCTTTGTCCTTGGACCGGTTTTCTTTATCATCTTTATCAACGATGTGGACATTGGTGTCAGAAGTGCACTGGCCAAGTTCTCTGATGACACTAAACTTTGGGACATAGCGTTCACACCTGAGGACAGGCTAGCGATCCAGGCTGACTTGGATAAACTTAGTAAGTGGGCAAACACAAACCTGATGATGTTCAATACTGATACATGTAAGGTACTCCACCTTGGGGTAGGGGGGGGACCCACAGCATACTTTTAGGTTTGGCAGTGCTATGCTTGCTAGCACCACTGCTGAAAGAGACTTGGGGGTCATGATTGATCACAAGATGAACATGAGCCACCAATGTGATGTCACAGCTGGTAAAGCAAACAAAGCTCTGGCTTGCATCTATAGATGCTTCTCAAGTAAATCTCAGGATGTCATGCTCCCGCTGCAAACTCGGCCTTGGTGAGGCCACAGCTGGAGTATTGCATCCAATTCTGGGCTCCACAATTGAAGAAGGATGTTGAGAAGCTTGAGACAGTCCAGAAGAGAGCCACACACATGATCAGGGGGCAAGAGAATAGGCCTTATGAAGAAAGGCTGAAAGCCATGGGACTGTTCAGTCTGGAAAAGCACAGGCTCAGGGGGGACCTGGTGTCTGCTTATAAGTACACAAGGGGTGTACATTAGGATCTGGGAGAGCATCTGTTCACCAGAGTGCCCCAAGGAAAAACAAGGACCAACAGTCATAAACTCCTACAAGACATTAGAAAAAACTTCTTTACGGTCCAAGCCCCCAAGACCTGGAATAGACTCCCTCCAGAAGTGGTGCAGGCACCTATTCTGGACTTATTCAAGAATTGTTTGGATGCTTATCTTGCTGGGATCCTTTGACCCTAGCTGACTTCCTGCCCCTGGGTAGGGGGCTGGACTTAATGATCTTTGAGGTCCCTTCCAGCCCTAACATCTATGAAATCTAGGAATCTATGAAAGATGGAGCCAGGGATTGAGATTGTGAGGTCATGACAATGAAGGGCTGGGGCCCAGGGCAGAGCTGCAATCTGCTCCCCGTGTGTCCCAGCCCCATGCTGTCATCTCCTAGCAATCCCAATTCTAATTCCAAATCCCACCTCTCCATCCTGCTCCTGGATGCCACTTCCCTAACCACCCATGGCCTCCTCCCATTGGCTCAGCTGTGCCCCCTGCCTGTGGGAATCCCAGGCCAGTCTCCATAGAGACCCTGCCCACCCACTCTGTCTGGCACCTTCAGAGGTGGGGGGTGCGGAGCAGATGGGCTGGGGTCCCAGGCAGCAGCAGCTGGAAGGAGCCACCACTGTGGGGCCTGCTGCAAATGGAGTCTGGCAGCCATGCCACCCAGGGGCAATGGGACTGGCCACACACACCACTGCTTGGGCTGGCCCCTGTGTCTGGGCTGGGTGGGGCTGAGGACCCTGATGTGAGCTGTACAAAATGCCTTGGTGAGCCAGATACAGCCCACAGACTGTATTTTGTCCACCCCTGGGTTAAGGTATCTCACTACACCTCCAAAGGTGTGTTAGAGCTTTGCTTAAACTTGTATGAAAAAACACCCCCAGCCAACCTAGCTGTAAGTGGGTGATCTTGTGGGCTGGGGAGTCAAAGGCAGCCAGATGTAATGCTATCTACATCACTCCCTTGTGTTATTTTGGCCAGGGAAGCTGGTGTGTCTGAGCCCAATGGGCCACTAGATTCATGGGAATTTGTGCCCATTTTTTACAATTAGAAGAAATTATTTATTATTAAAATATTGTATAGAAGAGTAATAGCTCTTCTCTTCCAAAACTTGTTTCCTGTCCCTTTCCTCAAGAAATCAGGGAGTCTAAACAGGTGTCTCATGCCCTATCCTGAGGCCTTTACTTTCTAGTGTTGTTACTAACCTGTGTTTAAGGCTGTTACCAACCTCTGTTGCCTGATGGCTCTGATCCAGCAGATGCTGATATTTAGCAGTCCTATGGAAATCAAACATGTTTGTGTCTGCAGGATCTCAGGACGTGTGAATGGGTACTAAGTTCAAATAATTAAGCTAACAGTGTGAGGGATTCATGCAGTGGAAATACAGTGAGTCAAGCCAAACAAGACATACACAGACGACTGGCACCTGAGGATTATTGAGTGCAAGTACATTGCCATCCTAATGATACTATCATTAATATTCAAGATCTGGGGTGTTGACCATATAGACACCAAATAAGATCATCAACTTAATTTAATGATGTCATATTAAAAATTTTAAAAATACTTAATTATTTTATGACAATTACAGGGAGCAAGAGCAGTGGATGTGTACTTTCCAGAAGCATCCTGGTTTGACTACTATACAGTAGGTATTTTTAAAGTTACATTTCTTATAGTTTTAACATAAAGTAAAATGTTTGAGTCCAATAAAAATAACTGAGGGCTCTGTTCAGTTGTCCTTTTTCTTAGCATCTGTAGTAAAGAAATAATATAAAGCCCCTTCCATACCAGGCTGTCTAATTGAGCAAGAAAATTACCCAGTTTTCAGTAGCATTTTGTTTTCTATTTTTGGTATGTACAGCACTAAAGCACAGAGGGCTGAGCTGTCAAGACCAATCTGTAAAATTTCTGCAATTCCACAAAATCTCCACAATTGTCAGGATTTCTATATTTTTCTTGCATTTGTAAATCATCAGCTCAGCATGCTACACAGCTTTCATGCATACAGATCAGGACAGACCTACTTTGCACACCTGACTACAGACTGCACACAAGAATACAAAATTTTGTGCATGAAAATTTTTTGCCATGAACTATGGAAGTCAGAAGAGCTGACCGAGACAGGTATGGAGCAATCTATCTTATAAAAAAAGGCAACATCCTTCTGATCTCACAAATAATATGTTTGAATCCCTCAAAGGGGTTAGTGTTTGCTACATTAGTGTCTACTTAATTCCTTAATAACAGCATTTTCAGAAGTGCTCAGAACTGACACAACTGTGCTCTCATTGAAGGCAGTAGCCAAACATTGACATCCGGGGGTTTGGCTTTTGAAAATTCCACCCCAGGAGCTTAAGGATGCAGGCAACTGTCCTGTGCAGTGACAGGTGGGAAACGGGGAGGATAGCAGGGTTAGTGGCCTGGAGGTATAGATGTCTTTATTCTTAAAGAAAATTATGCAGCACATTTAGTAGGGATAATTTTCAGCATTCTTCTACTATCACCAGTGTCTAAGCCATTTCTTCCCTTTGCTCCCTTTATATGGACTCTGTTCTGCACGGTTCAAAACAGATTCAGATCACACTGGGGATTTCACTTCTCAGTCCCTTTCACCTCACAGCATTAGACACTATTTTTGAGTATTGTGGCAACCCTTGGGGCCTTTCTTTATACACTCATTAGAATCATGGCAAAACTTCCATTTCTTTCGGTAGTGGTATTCCAGAGGTGGTACTCAGCCAAGGAGAACTGTAAAGTATATTCAGAGTTTTATGCTCTGTACTGCACTTCAATGCACTTTAGCAAAATTCAACTATACGTGGCTTATATGCTACCATTTTCAAGTAGGGCCATTCTTCACTCTTACTCCACTTTCATGTATCTTTGGTAGCCACACAGCCCTCTGGCTCTGAACAATTCTGATAGTCTTTTCAAAATATGGCTAGATTCAGGATTTTGGAAAGAGGTATCTGGGAGCAGCGACCAGTGCTGCAGGGGTGCTGCATCCCCATGCCCAGCTTCCCCCCCCCACCCTTGGGGAGGGCCGGCCATGCCACAGAAACAACAGACAGGGCTTTTTTTCTGAACCAGGTAAGAATCTTGCCTCTGCTTTTAGCACCTCCTCCCTTTTGCTTTGCGCTCAGCGGTACTTCCCATCTCTTCCAACTCTCCCATTCCCTTGCCTGCCACTACTACTGTGTAATGCAGTGTTTCCAGGGACAGCAGAAGTGATGGTGGTAGGTTCCTGGTCTCTGAGCCTGCTCCCAGGCTGGCAGGGAACAACCTAGCAGGGTCCAGGGCAGAAAGGAAATACCTGCTTGCTACTGCCACTGCCCTCAGCTGAACCCGGCAGCTGGGGGCAGCAGAGACAGCAGCAGCAAGGGACAGGAGAGGGGGAGTGGGAGGGAAAGAGAGGGGACATGATGCTGAGCATGAAGGAGAAGGCAGGGAGGAATTCTTACCTTATTTGGGGACTTAAAAAAAAGCCTCAGCTGCTGCAACATGGTCCAAAAGGGGTGTGACTGCATCACTACACCTCTTCCGGGTGCAGCCCTGTTTCAGGGTATGAAGCTTGTCAGAATACAAGGCTGAATATTCACAATGTATAATAGTCACCCCTTAAAGAGGGGCAGAAAAGAGGGCATGTATCATTAGCCCTTCCTGGTACTGGTTTTGTACGTTTAGGTGGGATATAATAGTACATAAAGCTTCCGCTCAAGGGTGGATTTCACCCTGTGCGAATTTAAGTTAATTTTTTAAATAAGGAAGAGAGTTGCCTTGAATTACTCTTGTACCAGTTATCCTCAGAACAGAAGAAAATCTAACAGAGTTTTCTTCCTAAATGTCTAAAAATCACTTATCCCAAGTTGAAAACTGAAATCTTCCACATGCATAGAAAAATTACAAGAATCTTTTGCTTTCCGCTAAGAGGCCTGACAAGCTTTTTCACACTGTGTAGAACAATGACACCATTTTAAGATGATTCACTGTCTCTTATTCATGATCGTTCTATCATTGGTGTATTTTTTACCCAGAAATGCTGGGGCTGAATTCTGTTTGACGTTGATGCAAAACTGGAGCACGCTGAAATGTGTGGTGTTATTCTGCATTTACAGTGATGTAAATACAGATGGGAACTTAATCCCACATCTCTGTTTCAAAGCTGTATGGTGATGACCTATAATGTTGGGATTTAAAATAAATATATTTTAAATAGTATTGGTTTTTTTGGTAGGGTGATGAAGTGCCCGCTTCCTGGCATAAGAAATATGTTAGTGTTGATGCTCCGTTGGACAAGATCCCACTCTTTCTCCGTGGAGGTTTCGTTCTACCCACGCAAACACCAGCCACAACAACCACTCTGAGGTAAATACCAGATTGTAATGTATTGACTTGAAAAGCATATGCCACCTTTCTTTGTTCAAGGATTGTGTAGAACAGGGAAAGTCTTAATAACTTCATTCTTTTCATGCTGAAATTCTTCAAACAAAATATTAATTGGTAATATTAGCTTTCTCTAGCAAAAAAACAACTCCAGATGGACTCGAGTGAAATGCCTCCAGACCTCAGGTTGGGGAGGACGGGTTGGAGAGCTTCTGGAGGGGCTGGACGTGTTCAAGTCAGCAGGTCCAGATGCTTTCCACCCCAGGGTGTTGAGGGAGCTAGCTGGGATTATTGCAGGGCCTTTGGCACGGCTTTACAAGCGCTCATGGTGCTCAGGCCAGGTGCCGGATGACTGGAAGATAGCTAACGTGGTCCCCATCTTCAAAAAAGGGAAGAGAGAGGACCCGGGCAACTATAGGCCTGTCAGTCTTACCTCTATCCTTGGGAAACTCTTTGAGAAGATCCTCAAGGAGCACATCTGTGATGGGCCAGCTTCGGGGATGATGCTCAAGGGCAACCAGCACAGTTTCATTAGGGGCAGGTCATGTCAGACCAACCTGATTGCCTTTTATGATCAGGTCACAAAGGCAATGGATGCAGGTGTCGCCGTGGATGTAGTCTTTCTAGACTTCAGCAAGGCCTTTGACACCATCTCCCACCCCATCCTCATTAAAAAACTAGGCGACTGTGGCATTGATGCCTACACAGTCAGATGGATTGCAGATTGGCTCAAGGGTCGTACTCAG